TTGCCAGTTCATTTCCATATTGGCTCCAGACAAACAGAAGGAGGAAGAAAGCGATGGTCCAAAAGCGCAGTCGAATTTATTCTAGTACAAAGGTTTCTTATCTTTTCCCTGGATGTTTTAATTAATATTTCACTTGTGCCCTAGCTCATCCCCAGAATGGGTGCGGAAGCAGCTATCTGTGATTCCAGGACTGGGTCCTGTCATTGTGAGTCACTGGGAGTGGCTTCATTTCCGGTGGGTTTTCTCCTACTCCCGAAGAGGCTGGGCGCATGCACGGTCCCTCAGCTCCAGCACACCCTGGTCCACCTGACAGCAGCGTGTTCTTTGACCACAGAGGCTCACCTAGGCCTCGTTGAGGTTTTCTGAGCTGTAGCCCAAAGCCTGGCTCTGGCTTGGTTGCTCAGCGTTGTCGTGAATTAAGCCTCCCTTCTCTCTGGAAAAGTGTTGCACATTCGCTCTTGGTGAAGAGTCATGATTCTGGGGTGTCAAGGAAGGGCAGTGGCCAGAGGGGAGGGACAGGGCACTGCATTGACTCTCTGGATGGAGCATTTCCCATTGCCGAGAAGGATTAAGCTATGCAGGAGATGAACTCTCAGTGAGAGGGAAAGACTCTTGTGGGGGGTTCCAGCCAGAGCTGGGTGAGAGGAGACCGTTATTGCTCCTGGGATGTGTAACCTGGATTGGGCCGTGGTCCAGTGCACCAAAGAGCCCCTCATTTCCTCTCAAGTAATGCCCTTGACTTGCAGGAGTTGGGGAGCTATAGCTTTTGATGTTCTTCTCTCACCTGGACCCAGGGACCTAGAGGCAAGCTTTTTGGTTTTGGCCTGGGGCCTCTTAGGGTTTGCTCAAAGCAGTCATTTTTATTTGAGAGAGAGAGAGTGCACGAGTGTGGGGAGGGGCAGAGGGGACAGGGCGAAGCAGACTCCCCGCTGAGTAGGGAGCCCAACGTGGGGCTCGATCCAAGGACCCAGAGATCATGACCTGAGCCAAAGGCAGTCGCTTAACCAGCTGAGCCACCCAGGCACCCCCAAACAGTCATTTTTAAAACTGTTGCTGTTTCCAGCCATGGAACACAGTCTTCTATAGTCATCTTAAGGCAGAAGCCTTATATGAGGTAGGGCTTCCCAACTATGGACATTCTGGGCCAATAATTCTTTATTGTGGGGCCTGTCCTGGGCATCTGTGGACGGTTTAGGAGCATCCCTGGCCTCTGCCCACTAGATGCTGGCATCATTCCCTTCCTCCCAGCTGGGACCAACAAAAATGTCTGCAGACATTTCCCAATGGGCCTTGGGGGGCAGGATGGCCCCCTGCTGAGCACCACTGTATTAAGAGGTGACTCAAGTGGGGGTACTTTAGCCAGGATGGGAGGCTCCTCTCTGCCCCTGCCCCTCACTGCCCCCAAGGAAAGCACGCAGACTGAGAATGAGGCTGCAGATCCCTGCGGGGCCGGCCCCGCCACACACTCTGTGCCCGAGCGGACGAATGCAGAATCACGTAGTCCCACCGGCCCGAGTTCCCGGCGTGGCTCTGAGCTCTTTCTCTCCCACGGTGAGGTGGGTTCCTGAGACGCCTCTGCCGGGATGCACCTGGCACAGCCTGCGGTCCTGGAACGGGGTGACCAGCGACTGCCCCCCACAGGGCTCAAATGCCGAACCTTCCTTTAAACAGTGATCATCATCGATTGTTTTTCAAGGGACAAAGTTAAGTGCTCAGGGAAGACAGCCTGGACACCAGGAAAGCATAATAAAAGGAGAAGCCACATACTAGAGGCCAAGGTAATTACAGTTTACCATGAACAAAAGCAAACCAAACCTACTGTCATATTTATCCTATTTGTTATATTTTTAGAGCCTGCCTTCCCCACTTAAACTTGCAGCACACAGCAGCTACCCGAGCTCCCACAGCTGACCCCCCCGGGGCTGGTACCGAGTGGCGAGTCACCGGCGGACTTGGCAGGTGCCCCGCCGATGTCATCCACAAATGTCAGGCCGCACCTTCCCCTCAGAAGCCGCTCTGAGCTGCCAGCCGTGCATTCCCTGAACCTGTTCCTAATTTCTGCTTGAGCAGTTTTCCTGGAGGTCATGAATGACAGATTAACTGCCCTTCCACGCTTCTGCCACATGGATTTTTATCAATGATTGCTGACAAATGACAACTTCCAGCAGAACCATGATGCCATGTTTAGCTTGAAAACTGGGAAAAGACTGCTCAGTTTCTGCAAAGCACAGGGTTGAAAATAACCATCCCGGCTTGTGCTCCCTGAGGACTTACTGTGTGTCCTGAGCTGCCGTTCCGTTCGGGCTTTTTAACACGGCCTTTCAATTCTTACGTCATTCTTACGCTGGGGGTATTTTATTACCCCATTTGACAGATGAGGAAACCGAGGCACAGACAGGTGAAGTCCCTTGGATGGGGTCACACATGGACAGAGGTAGCAACGGGGCCAGGATATGCATCCTGGCAGCCTGGCTTGAGGCAGGGGGCTGTCGGCAAGCTTCTTCTATAAAAGGCCGGTCTCTGCCACACTTCCTCAGCTCAGCTCCATCTCTGTAGCACAAAAGCTGCCGCAGAAATGAAAGGGTAGGAACCCTGAAATTTGAATTTCATATACTTTTCACATGTCACAAAATAGGATTCTGCTTTTGTTTTTTTTGTTTTTTTTTAACATACAAACTATTCTTAGCCCTCAGGCTGTACAAGGACAGGTGGCGGACTGGATTTGGCCCGCAGGCTGTAGCTTGTCGACCCGGCTTGAGAGTCCAGGCTCTTCACCGCGCCGGGGCACCGCGGCTGTGATAAGTCTCTTCCCCCATACGGGGAGCCTCAGACCCAACAGAGGAGGCAGGGGCCGGAGTCTCTTGACCAGGGAGCCTTTTGCACCAAGGAATTTATTTGTTGCCCCGTCGTATCTCCGAGTGAGCCTACGTCAGGGATGGGCCGGTGTGTGGCCATCAGGACACGAGAGCTAAGAAGGGTAAACTGATAGAATGCACCGATGATTGACAACTCGGCCATAAATAAAAACACATTTACGGGCTTCTAATGGGGGCGAAGAAAAATGATTTCGTTTATTTATACAACTGATAGATAGCTGCTTGTCAAGAGCAGACCCTAGTCTGCGGGCTCCGGTGAATGAACGGTCGTCTGTAGGAATAGTGTGATCTACTTGGTAGATCACTGGACCAACGGTCCAGTGAATACACCCGGGGGGCACTGGCACAGTGCCTTACTCCTTCTGGTATTCCTTTTCACCTGACATGGAGCCAGGGTCCCTGCCCTGGCAGGACCAGACCAAGCAAACCGCCCCGGGGCCATAGGCTTCCAGGGAGAAGACTTTGGAGTTGGAATTCAGTCCCGACCTGGCCACCTGGTCCCTGTCCCCAGCAGATGTCAGTGTGTCTGGCTGCTCAGCAGGGGCCCCGAGAGAATGTGGTACAAAACGGGCTCTCTGCATACCTTGTCACTGTGAGGCTTTGAAATGCTTCCAGGGGCCCTGGCCACCGCCGCCCTGCGGCCTTCCTGGTTCTGGCTCCACTCAGTGGCAGATGGAAGAGCCACGGGTGTGGTGGGGCCAAGGAGGAGCTGTCTGGGGAAGGCGGCTGCCACTTTTCTGGCCTCAGTGTGCGTCGGATAGCTGTGGGTTGCAGGATGAGCGAAGAGGGTACTTTGACATGGGGGGTGCTGATGGGAGCGTTGGAGCCTGGGAGGGCAGGATGGGTATCAGAGGGCCTTCTCCTAGGCCCCTTGGAGCTCCTTGGGATAGAGATGCGGATGAGTGGTAATTTCTCACACAACTCTAGAGTCAGAAAGGGCCTTAACAAATCAGTAGCCGGATGGTTCTTAACCTGGGGACCCCAAGAGCTATAATGGAGCATGTTTGTCCCTGGCATTTTGTCAATATCCAAAAAAAAAAAAAAGAGCAGTAATCAAACCTATGACAGCCTCCTTTGCTTATAGAACTTTCGAGTTCCTTTGCTTTGGGCTAGACCTTATCCACTGGGAGAGTTAGTGATGGTTTATATCCATTGATAAAAAGCTCTGGTGAATGGTGATTTATATCTTCGATTAATAAATCTGAGAAGATGAATTAATTATTACTTAATAAGTGTGTAGTGTGCCTGCTCCACACAAACCTCCTTAAACAGGAGGTAGCTTGGGAGAAAGCTCTAAATGGAGATCTTTGTGACAAGGAAGAAGAGAAGCTGCTGAGCTAGTGAAACCCTCTCCCTTTGCAAATGAAGACACAAGAGACCCAGGAGACCCAAGAGGTCAGAGTTCTGGCTCAAGGCCACTGGTCTTTAGGTCCCAGAGGTGAAGCCACGACTGGGCTCCTTGGTCCCACCTTCCTTCTGTGACACCGTGGTGCCTCCCTGGTCCCCAGCCTGCCCCCTCCTTCCTGGACTTGGTTCTGCCCAATCAAGCTATCTGTGTTCTTGAACTCCAGGTGGGTTGGGCTGTGGTCACCCGAACGAGGTGGTCAGTGTCTGGACTCTGGGGGACCCCGAAGTGGGTGTATGCTGCTTCTGAGCCTTTTCACTCAAAAACCATGCCCACTGGCAAGCTACCTTCCCCCTCCCCCTTTTTAAACCCACATCATTTGTGTCGTCTTCCTGGCCAGCTGAGAAAATGAGCTGTCCTTAGAAGTCCCAAAAAGGAAAACAAAAGCAAGTGGAAGGAAGCTAAGTCATGAAGACCAACGGGGAAGCTGGGTTTCGAGTCTTTAAAAAGGAGAGCTTTCTGGAGCCGAGAGGGGACATTAAATGCTGTCCCCGGGCCAGGTGCTCTGGGTCTCATGATGATCCCATCAGGCAGGGGATGTGCAAGACCCTTCAAGGAGGGAGGAACCGTGGCTCAGAGACACCTGGCCACGTGGCAGAAGGCCTGGCTTGCATGTGGGCGATTCAGGATTCGAACCCAGGTCTCTCTGGCTCTAAAGATAGCACCTTAGCTGTGGACCCTGGCCGACCTGAACCCTGTCTTTCCTCCTCCCCCTGCAGACACATAGAGAACTGGCGAGGTCTGCACACGCTGAATGCCGTGGACATGGAGCTCTACACCGGCCTCCAAAAGCTGTGAGTGCACCAGACCTCGGGCAGGGCCTAGAGTGGTGGGCGGGTCGGGGGAGCCCACTGCCTCTGGGCTGCCCTCGGCACTTTCCTCCTCTGTTCCTCTTTTAGTAGAGTCGGTACCACCCACTTAGGGAGTGTCCGGGGCTTCAAAGGCCATCCCCTTACTCTCCCACGTTTCTGCTCAGCCCAGAAGACAAGGGGGCTGTGTGGTCTCACCTGTAGTTAGGGATTCGGAGCAGGACCTGAACCCAGGTCTCCCGGCTAGTGATCTTACCTCAGCCCCATGTTTCGCGAATGGTCCCCCTAGCCTGCAAAATTCCCCAGGCCCCTCATCCTCCTTTGAACTTCAGTGGTAGTGGTCGTGGGGGGTTTGGCGTGGGGGAGGGAGTGTTCACAAAGGGGGTTGCAGCCCTGTAGTCGCTGGACCAGGATTCTTGAGCAGGAGAACTGTTACCCTCTTGCCAGGATGAGGAGATGACAGTTGCCAGCTCATCCCAAACCCTCACCCAGGTCCCAGTGTTGGGGTGAGCCCAGACGCCCTCCACGGGGCACCCAGTGATGCTGATGATGAGGAACTGCTTCAGTTCACAGGGGCGGCTGGAGGTCCATGACCTCCTGTCAGCCTCAGCCCGGAGCAGATGTCCCTCTGCTCTGTAAGCTCTGCTGACCCTGTTTTTCTCTCTCTCTTCAGGACCATCAAGAACTCAGGACTTCGGAGCATCCAGCCCAGAGCCTTTGCCAAGAACCCCCACTTGCGCTATATGTGAGTAGAGCTGGGTCCTGGGCTGCAGGGAGTGGGTGGGGGCGGGGGGAGACACACGGCAGGGAGGGTGCTGGGCAGGGGAGCTAGCTGGCAACCTGGGGTCTAGGCCTGGCTTTGTCACTGTGTGCCCTGGGCCTCAGACTTTGCCTCTTAAAAATGAGGGTTTGGGATTTGAGCATCTCTAAGATTTCTGCCAGAAGGACGAGCCTAAACTAGGGCTTAGAGCCTCCTGACTCCCAAGGTTGTTTGCTTTTCATTTGCAATTTTATGGGAGTGTAAGTGATAAGAAATCCCACTCATCTGGGATGTGAATGCTACACCTCTGAGACAATTTGGGGTCCCTAAGTGTGTGTCCGTGTGTCCCTGTGTGTTGGGTGCTGTTGGAAGAAGAGGGAAGGCAGGGCCAGACCAAGCGCCATGTCTAAGTAGGTTCTGGGTTCACTGGAGAAGGGCTTCGAGAATGGCCCCTGCACCTGAGGTCACACAGCTTCGTTTGGGACAAGTTGCAGGCCACATGGCTCCGGGTGGGATTCTTGTCTGTACTTCCCTCCCCCCACCCTTCCCCCTCCCTTCCATGTCTGATGGCAGAGGGGCCTCCTCAGGGTTGGACCTGTGAGGGTAGAATCAAATGAGTTCACTGCTTTCTCTCCAAGCCTTGTTCTCCACGGAAGACTCCGGGATTCAGTGGGAGGACTGCCGTATCCTGGGGAGAAGGTGGGCTTGAGAGGAAACCCGGGGAGACGGTCAGGGGAAACACCAACCCGCTGTGCCCACAGGGGGTGCTTGCTGTCTGGTCACCTCTTCTTCCAGGATGGTGGCCATCTTGGACATCCATTGGGCACCTTCCCCGAGAGAGCAGAGATTCTCCAGGGACCAGGTGGGAAGGGAGGGCTCTGCTGTATTTGGGGATGACAAATGGAGCAATGATGTGCAGGTGAGTCTTTCCTTTGTCCACGTGACCGTTGTACTGCCTGAGGCACTTTGCATTTGCTAATGGAAGGGCAGCCCACCGGACTGGAGTCCCCTCTGAAGAGGCAGAGCCTCCGAGGGAAGCTCTCAGAAAGTGGCAGAAAGGGAGGAAGAGAAGGAGAAGGGCTTCTGGAGGATTGTGGTGGGAGGGGTGGTTCTTTTTGGGGATCCTGACCTCACCCTCTGTCCTCTGTGTGCTTTCTCAGGCACATAGTGAGTGCGTGATGTGTGTGTGTGTGTGTGTGTGTGTGTGTGTGTGTGTATTTATCAGTTATGGCCACCCTTCTTTGTGCTAAACTTCCTTTCCTCCATCTGGGACTGGCACACACTGTAAGGCCCTTGCTCAGGGCCCAACGTCTCAGCTTCAGACCTCCCAGTTGTCTCATCCAGCGGTTGCCCCCTTCTCCGAGGCGAGCATCTGTGGGGAGATTCTCCCGATGTGCGTTCTCTGCAGCTGGAGGTGAAGCTGGGACCAGAGGAGGGCTTTGGACCAGATGTCCCAGGTGTTTATTTTATTGGGGATTTGAGTTTCAATGTAAGATATCCCAGGGGAAGAAGCTTCTGACCTCTGAGGAGTCTTTTCGTGCTAATTCACACAAAGTTCACAAAGCTAACCGCCTATGGCTGATGAGGGTGGGGACAGTGGAGGCTGGGGACCACATGTCCCCTGCTACAGGGGCAGCTAGCTGACTGTTGCTATGTGGGGGCAGGGCCTCATGTTGCCAGACTTACTGTTTTTTTCAAGAAGAGCTAAAGGTCCGGTGAAACCCCTCAAGTTTTAAATGCTTGGCAACGAAAAACAAAACCCCTCAACTCCATGGGCCAAACGAAACAGCTCCGTGGGCAGAAGAGGACACACGAAGTGCCAATTTGTGGTCTAGGGTATTACTTGGGGGAGAGAGGCTGTCAACTTGGAAGAAGCTCTGTCCCCTTTGCTCAAGGACAGTGGCTAGGTGCTCATGCCCTAGAGCTTACGAGGCATTGTGTCACCCACAGCTCTCAGGGAAATTGAGGGGGCTTTGGTACCTGTCGCGTTTCTTTGGGCCACAGAGGTGGGAGCAGGGGTGCATCTCAGGTCACAAGTGTTTCTGAAATGGAATGTACTGGAACATTCCCTTGACTTACCCTTGAGGTCCTGGAAGAAGGCTGTGACCCATGTCTCCTTGGGGATAATCTGGGGTCTAGTGGGTGGTGGCCGTGATAGGCTGGTGAGGCTTTGTAAGATTCCCAGGGTTTAAAGGGCAGAAGGGGTCTGGTTGGAGTAGTTCTGTTGATAGCTGCGAGCCTGCCTGTGACCTTGGGCTCTGTCTTCTCCCGGAAGCATTGGCCAGCTTTTGCCAAAGCACTTGCTGTTGGCAAGAAGGATGGTTTGCTATCAATTTATCCCCAGTTTGGGCCTGGTTGTACATCAGGGGCCATTAGGATGCTCAGCTTGGTAGGAGAAATTCAGCACCTGTCGAGGGGCTCCCCTAGGCACCGTGGGGCTTCCAGGGGAGTCTGAGGGTCACAGAGGAGTCAAAGGGTCAAGGTGTAAGCGCTGGCTTCATCGATGGGTTTCTTTATGAACTTTTCCCACTTAGGAGGACACACCCCCAATCCCAACAGAGTGAATTTCCCGGCAGCGTCAGGACATTTTTCTCCTGGCAAATGGGCCAGGTTTCTCTGCTCTCTCACAGCGTCTTCTATTTCTGTCCTCTAAATGCGGTTACGAGTCTTCAGGCCCCAGCTGAGCAATCACAAGACGATCACTTACTCCAACACTAATTGCCAAGCCCTGGCTTGGTGGCTTTTTCTTTTTTTCTCCCCCCCCCCCTGCTTTTTAGGGTGATGGCTAAGAAGTCTTTTCTTGTCCCTTCTGTACAGAATAAGAAGCAGGAAGTGAAATCATCACTGTACCAGTGTCAAGTTGTCCAGATTGTTCTGATTGGCTCAGTTTTCCCTCACTTCTAAGCTGCTGTTGCATTACTCAGGGTCCGCTTCTTCCTCGGCCCAGAAAATGAACCAATGTTAAGGCCAAGTTGTCCGTCATGAAGAAGGCTGGGGAGGAGGGCTCTTGTGTCCAACTTCAAGGTTTATGAGCGACTGGCCCATCTTCTCTTGACTGCTTCAGTGTTCTCTGTGCTTTACTGAGTGTGAGAAAAGGAAATACTGATTCATATACAGCAAGGGAGATCCTGTCTGAGAGACTGGAATATCCTTGACCTTTAGGTCCTTTCCTTGATCTTCAAGATTTTTGGATTGAGGATTCTTAAGGATAAGGATTTTCCAAGTGGAAAATTGGAATCGCTATTTGCTAATCTGCAAAATGGGCGCAATAACAAGGCCCCCTTTGTGGACAGGATGTGGGGAAGATGAAGTGACCGAAGGCACATACAGCTCTCAGCCCAGTGCCTGGTAAATGATCAGCGTTCAGAAATGGCAGTTGCTAATAATGATAGTAATTATTGTGATTTGTGGTGACGGTAATAGAACCGAAGAGGGGGGACCAGTTGGCCTCGATGACGATCTGACTGCAACTTTATTCTGGAAAAGTCATAGATCTGTTCTGCAGTGCCGTCCACCTCTCTGGCATCTGGAATACTCCTCTCTGCAATCTATCATGTCTTTCTTCCTTGAATACTGATAAATGAACCCTGATAGATTCCCTGTTCTCTCCACTTAGTCCCCCTCCTCTCCTTCTCGACATTGTTAGTTTCAGAAAGGACCCAAACAATTCAGCGGATGAGCTTACCCCTTTGTTTCCATCTGATTGGAGGGCGCATCCACCCGCACGACTGAAATTGGATTGTTTGCCGAATTTCCCAGCCCCACCTCTGCAACTGGCTCATCTCTTCCCTTCTGGGGTGGTTTTCTCTGACATGGCTCACACATCAGCCGGATCTCCACAGTCTGGGGTCCCCATAGCACAATGACGTAGATGATTCTCTATGAACCACACTAACATGGCGGGCGGTATGTTCTTTCCTCTGTAGAGCACGTCAGGGTTTTCCAAGTGCTGTCCTGTAGTAGAACATCCATGAAGTCCTCTGATTCTCTTTCCAGGAATCTTTCCACTATAGCTCATGGGCCAGAAGACGCAATGTTTTCCACTGAAGCAATTAAAACATTTTTTTTCTTATGATGGTTAGAAAATTGCATAAAAAATGCCGGTGTGGGGGCACCTCGGTGGCTCAGTTGGTGAAGTGTCCGACTCTTGATTTTGGGCTCAGGTCATGATCTCAGGGTTGTGAGATCGAGCCCTGCATCAGGCTCTGTGCTCAGCATGGAGTCTGCTTCGGATTCTCTCCCCCTTCTCTCCCTCTGCCCCCGCCCCCGCCTCTCTCTAAATAAATAAATAAATAAAAAAAAATCTTTTAAAAAATGCTGGTATCAGGAGAGAAGAAGGAAAGGCTAGTGTTGATTGAGAACTTACTGTGTGCCAAGGACTGTGCCTGGTGTTTTTGCAAACATCACTCCTCTTGGTAACTGTAGGTTAGGGTTCCTCTATTCCCATTCCATAGATGGGAACATTGAGGCTCAGAAGTCATAACTGCCTTCCCCCAAGTTCACATAGCAGTTAGTGGAACAGCCAGGACCTGGACTCTCATCCCTTTGCCTCTGAAGTCAGTGTACTGTTTTACAGTCCACACGTGTTTGTCTCTCTCTCTAGTTCTCCAGCAAGAACTCCTTATGGGAGGGTTGGGAGTCTTTAAAGTTTTATTAGAGCTGATGTTTCCCCTGGGGATTTAGCACCATCCATCCTCAAAGACCTCTGGTGAGAAAGCTCTGTTTAGTTTCTTTTCCTATTCAGGTCAAATCCTATAACAACAGTTACATTACAACCCGAATATCTTTATCATAAAAGATTCTTAGCGTTCGCCTATGGCTTGCTCATTTCCAAGAATATGCAGTGTGAGATTCCAGTAAGCCAAAAGAATTTTTATTTAATCCCTTGGAGTTGTTGTGGTCAGATTTCTCTCGCATTCTGTTTCTTGCTTTTTCTCCCACAGCTCTGGGCGCCACATTGTTACTCCTCTCTGTCCTAAGCAAAC